TAATTGACGCCACCTGAACGCGTAGCCGGCGGAACGCCGGTGCTGAACGCCCGTGTGGTCGCTTCGATTTGCTCCAATGAGCAGAAAAACGGTCGGCGTTCATTTGGTGCTCACCTGGCGCCACGAACGCCACAAAAACGCCTGGTACAGACGTCCGTGTGAACAAGGCCTAACACGCGAAGACTGTCTCGTGTTATGCGCTGACATGCAATGACCTGGAAACAGGGTTGCCAACGTTGATCCGCTGGAGATTTTCAATTCGATTGCACACTCATACACACGCATTTACATGTATGCAACCATTTTACTAGCTTGTAAATAGTCTATTTGGTTTGCAAACTTCCCATTACTTTTAAATGTAGCACATTTTTAGGTTTATAATGAAATAATACAGATTTGCCGTAAGATCTCTTGCGGGAGCCATGAGTCTGAAAGCGTGAATGTCACGAAAGATGCGTGAGTTGGCAACCCTGCATGGAAACTCGAGACCGTACAGTAGTTGGTATACAGTTACAGACTCATGATTACGTAATTACACCTTGAACGCTAAGCTGTTTGCTAGCCGTTTGGTCTATTTGAATGAAGTAGCGACTCGGACATTGAGCCATATCTGAACTGTAAAACAGTACACCATACATTTTATTGCCCTGCTATTACATGGGGCCATTGTTTAAATGACATTAACATCCCTGCTGCGAAACTTTGCCTTAATGTGGGCATAAGGTGCTTAAAGGTCATAACTGAAACTCCTTCACTTTCTTCTCTATTTTTTGCAGGGCACAACGGACTGGTAGCAGTAAGTGATTATTTAGACACCTAAGCAGAAGGAAATGTTCACATGAGATTCTGACGTGAGGATCAGGGATGTGTGTAACTGTGAGCAGATTTCAGGGTGATCTGCATATTCAGGGAGCTCATCCAGGCTCCCGTGCTGTTTGTCCAGGCAGCGTACCTGCAGAAGGCTGGTGTGGAGACGGCTGTCTTGGAACGCCGGCATGTTCTGGGGGGGGCCGCGGTGTCCGAGGAGATCATCCCAGGTGAGGCCCTCCGCATCCTCATATCAGGGTTCACATCTGCTGACCCCTGTGGGCAGGAGACATGGTTCATTCCAGATGACCCCGTGCAGGTCCAGAGGGGTCCCCTGATCCTCCCTTCCACGTCTTTCTCTGCAGGCTTCCGCTTCTCCCGGGCCTCCTACCTGCTCAGTCTCCTGCGGCCACACATCTATATGGACCTTGAGCTGAAGGTGAGCTTGAGGCATAGTTGGTGATAGGCTGGATTACGCCGGTACATCACCACCACACGCTCGGCTAGGATGACCCACCAAATCCATGTCAGGGGAGACACTATGAGCTACTTCAGGTTTTACAAACGTCTTTAAAACTAAAAGGCTCCTGTGTTTGGCTAATTAGTTCAGTTATTCTTGTGCTTTTACTTGTTTGCTTCCTTGATTGAAAGACTCATCCAGCTGTTTCACATTAAAATTAGTGACACGTGCATGATTGAAGGAGACTGACCAATCAGCACACAGCAAGAAGTAAGTGCTAAAGTGAAGTCCGGGTCATTGTAATTGATTTTGGTTGAAATGGTAGTTCCCAAACCCAGTCATAGCTCAACTCATCCCCCCGACAGGGATTAGGTGGTCACCCTATGCTCAGCACATTTCTGTCCACGTAGGAGCCATCAGCGCCGCATTTAAGCCTCCTGAGAGTTTAATTTACTAGCCCAGAGCTCTATTGGCATCTGCTGCCTGTGGTTTTAGCTGTGTGCCCTGTGACACCGATGGAGGCTCGGGGACATCGCTGGCTGTCGTCCTGCTGCTTCCTGTGCAGGCCTGCCCCTCCTCATCTCTCTGTCCTGTTCCCTTCGGTCAGAAACACGGCTTGAAGGTGTACAGGCGTGACCCCCACTCGTTCACGCCCCTGCTGGAGGAGGCGGTGGGGGGGAAGCCCCCCCGCTCTCTGCTTTTGGGCCCTGACCTTGAGAAGAACGTGCAGGAGATTGGGAAGTTTTCCAGAAATGATGCCAAGGTAAAGTGGATGTCATTTTCCCCCCCAAACCAGTTCAGCACTAATCATTACCACGGTCAACTTAAGCACAAATCACCTTCAGTAACTGCTTAAATGCACTCGGATGATGTCGTGTCAAATGACTTAGCATATTGGATGTGTTTCCAGCAACATATCTGAGTTCGGCTTAACAGAGCCAACAGACAGTCTTGGCCGTATCAGCTACTCTCTCTCCAGCGCTGGTGTAATTTATTGGTAAACTAAAATGTTCCCTAATCACTGATTATGAATGACTGTAACCAGGATTGGCCGTCATCAGCTCATAGGCACAGTTAGCATATTGTTTTCTGTGTTGAACATCTACTTGTGAACTTAGGTTCTGCCCATGTCAATAAATGCATTCATTCATTTCATTGTGCGTCCCTAACAGAAAATGATGGACTGAACTGTATACATTGAATACATGTGCTGTTATAGCCCTACCAGCTTTCACATTGACGTTGCAGGGTGTATGAACACAGGCTGTGTAGTCTCATACTGTTAGCCAATGAAATCAGTCTAGAGGTTTCATCAGAGCTGCAGAGTGCGAGCTTTGCTCCTATGTACTAAGCACTGAATTGGTCTGGGGAAAAAATGAAGTGTGTCAGCCTGGCGGCCTGCGCTGATGAGGCGGCCATTCTCACGCCTGACTGAAAATTCAAAATGTAATGTTATAACGTTAATTATATCCTGTCTCAGATTTTTTTTTTTTTTAAACTTAGGAGTTTCCTTTGTGTAATATGGTGTGGGACCCTGAACAGGGGCTGTAAAACATTGTGACTAAAATGCTTCCTTTGGAGGTGTTCAGGTCCTCAGTGCGGCCTGTCTTTTAACCCTTTTTATGTCTCCTGTCCAGGCCTACCCTGTGTTCCAGAACCATCTGGAGAACCTCGCCTGTGCCATACACCCCCTGCTGGACGCCCCGCCCGTGGATATCGCTGGGATAGCTGGGGGGTCCCTGAGAAGACGATTGGCTGCTCTGCGGACCCTGCGGCCCCTTCTGCAGTGTGGTACTGAGAACCCGCCAGCCAACGAGGCCCCCCCCCCCCATGGTGAGCTGCTCACTCAAGGACCATTCAGACTCTCACATGTGTGACCTCTGCTCTGTTAAAAGGTTTAAAACTGGGAAAGAACCTTCCAGACTTTTATGAGCTGCTCACAGCTCCAGCGCAAAAGGTTGGTGATGCTGATTATCTGGGCCGGTCACCTGTTTGATTGGCGCATGTCTGTGGTGGGAAGGCTGATGTGCGGCTGCTGACACCCAGGTGCTGAACCGCTGGTTCGAGTCGGAGCCACTCAAAGCGACGCTGGCCACAGACGCGGTGATCGGCGCCATGATGAGCCCCAAGAACCCGGGCAGCGGGTAAGGGGCAGACGGGCCGTGATTACAGGGACCTCAGACACGTGTCTGGTGTTTTAAGGCTGATTCACACATCTGAGTAGAATTTACTCCAGTAGCCGCATATCCTATGCCACAGCCTGACCACTGTACTTACATTTTTGGGGTAGTGTGTGTCAGGCCAGTGTTGAGGAAGTTACTCAAAAAAAAAAAATAGGTAGAAAGTTCAGGTCCAGAAGGTACAAATCCAGACCAAGGATTTGTTTCAGCCAACCAGGTGAGTACTCTGTGGCTGTGAGTCTTTATACTGAACTGGTTGGTTGAAACAAAACTGTGGTCGGGATTTGTACTTTCTGGACTTGAACTTTCCACCTATCTGTATTGGATTGCTTTTGTGAGTAACTTCCCCAACACTGTGTCAGGGTTTGGCGTAAGGTGCATGACAAGTGTAAACCAGCCTGTGGTATGGCTCCTCACAGCCTTTGCCTGTCTAGGTATGTGCTGCTGCACCATGTGATGGGAGAGCTGGAGAAGGAGCGAGGAGCTTGGGGCTATGTGGAAGGGGGCATGGGGGGCGTGTCCAAAGCAATTGCCAATGCGGCACATGCCCATGGAGCCTCCCTCTTCACTGAACGGGTGAGCACTACTTAGAAGGATGTACCCACTGCCATCCAATCGCCGCTCAGCGCTGCCAGCGTCCCGTCCAATGAGATGCATCCTGGTTCTATTTCCACCTTATTGGATTTCTCTCATCTGCCAGGAAGTGGAGCACCTTTTGGTGGCTGACGATGGCCGCGCCCGCGGCGTCGCGCTCAAGGACGGCTCTGAGGTCCACAGTAAAGTCGTCCTGTCCAACGCCACACCGTATGTGACCTTCAAGCGGCTCACCCCTCAGGTAACACCCCCCGCCACGGTCCAGCCACATCGTCGATCCTGCTCACTGACACGCCCCGTTGCTGCGATGTGACATGATTGCAGAATGCCCTGTCCCCGGACTTTGTGAGAGCGGTCGATCAGATTGACTACACGTCTCCGGTTACCAAGATTAATGGTCAGTCCTGAGCTCCTCCAAATCTGCTTCCCTGCGGAAGTTTCCCTGGATTAGAAAGTAGTTTCCTCTTTGGGACGGCGGCGCACAACGGCTCCTCAAAGCCCCCTGTGTCTGGCTCTGTCCTGCAGTTGCTGTGGACAGACTGCCTGACTTCCTGGCTGCCCCGAACAGAGCCCGCGGCCTGCCAGGCCCCCATCACCAATGCTCCATCCACCTGAACTGCGAGAACATGGACATTCTGGAGGAAGCGTATCAAGAGGCCAGGCAGGGCCGCCCCTCCACCAGGTCTGCCACTGAATTGGCTCAGCGCTCGCTGTTTTTTTTTTTCCCTTTTGTGACCCAAAGTAGGCAACCCCATTCCTCTTTGTGCCAGACCCATGCTGGAGATGTGCATCCCCTCTGTGCTGGACCCAACTCTGGCGCCCCCTGGCTGCCACGTTGTCTCCATCTTCAGCCAGTACACTCCCTATTGGCTGGGGGAGGGCCGTGCCTGGACCAATGAGGACCGGGAGAAGTTCGCAGACTCCGGTAAAGTGTCCGAGCTCAGCAGGCAACAGAGGGTGCTGTGTCTGGATTCATATTTCATGCAAAATATGCTTCCGGTGGGGGATTTTCCCAGCGTCCCCTGATAAACTTTTGTGATCTCATAGAAGTCACATGGCAAGGTGAGTATTTCTTTAATGTGCTCTCTGTGTAGTCAAACCATCTTCCATAAGCACAGTACAGGGGATGCACTGGACACAACGACACTAAGATCAAACTAATCAACGTGTCACTTGGGTGAGGCAGAGTGTGGGAATCTCAGGTATTCCAACATGTGACATTAGGCCCACGACAAATAAGAAATAAGATTTATAAGTCATGCAATGTCATGCACATGTGGTAATGTTTTAGTATTAGATTTTCATTGTAGTTAAAATGTAGTTGTATCTTTCTTTTTCCTCTGATAATGTAAGGCTGTCTGCATGCCAGATGGAAACTGCAGGTTAAGTCTGTTTCTGTGAGTAACAGTGCAGCCTGTCTGTTCTTGTATCCTTGCAGTTTTTCACTGTATTGAGCTCTACTCGCCTGGCTTCAGAAGCTCCATAGTGGGCAAGGAGGTTCTTGCTCCACCTGACCTGGAGAGCATTTTTGGGCTGACTGGAGGGGTGAGTTTATATCCAGTTGTCCATTTCTGAAGGCCATCGCTGGGCTGTATGAAACATGAGTCATTTAATTAAAGAGATGAAAATGGTAGAGACAGGGTTAGGATTTGACATTTCAGGGTTAGCATTCTCTGGTAAGGTTGAGCTGCAGGATGATTTTTAATTAGTCTCTGCTTAATGGTTACCGCTATCCTTATATAAATGTTGTCTTAGATAACAAGGTTAAAGTCCAGGGACCCTGAGGTGTAAAAGACTTAATATTTGATCCTAAACAGCTGGTTTTACATTGCCAACAGAATATTTTTCACGGTGCCATGTCATTGGATCAGCTCTATCTGGTGCGACCTTTGCCCTCTGTCTCGGATTACCGCTCACCAATCAAAGGCCTGTATCTATGTGGCAGTGGATGTCATCCTGGTACGTTATTGGCTGATAGTGGTAAATTTTTTCTTTTTGTTGTTCATACGAAGCCTGTATTGTAATAAATTTCACTCTCTAGTGGGTCATATGATCTTGCATGTACACACTGTATTGTACTTAAAAAAATTATGGCATTTATAGAACTGGGTTCTGCATCCCAATCACTCAGTACTGTAGCTTGAATCACTTTTTAGTCCAGAATTTTAACAGCCAAGCCACCTGTGCAGTTTCTAGATATGTATCTGGTTGCCTTACCTTTGTTTGCCAGGTGGTGGCGTTATGGGTGCTGCAGGATGGAACGCCGCCCTGACTGTCCTGGCTGACTTGCAGCGGGGCGGAAGTGGCTGAGATGAGCCTGGGGTTTAGGGGGGAGGTGGGGCACATTGATTGCTATCGAGAATTATCTAGGATGTTCTGTAAACATTCATGTGAGACTTTCCACAAAACACACATTGTAGTTTACATTATCACCTTATTGAAATAGGTTCAAGTTAATTTCAGCTTCATTCAAGTTTTTAAAAGGTCTAATAATGTTTTTAAAACACTATTTGGAGTTACTCGTCATGGCTGTATGAATTATGAGATTGGGGCATTTGAGGGTCATTCTGTGGGGTAGGCTAACGTTAGCAACAGTGCAAAGAGTCACAATTAAAGCCATGTCTTTGTGTAATACTTTGATGCTGCCTAACCCTAACTCCAATGACGTCTTTGTGAATAAACTGTTTTTGTTTGAGGCTGCCTCTATGTGTGCCATGGAGTGTTCTACCTGACGCTTAGCATGGCCGTAGAGCCTCAGGGTCAGGCTGTGTTGTCTCCTTCATTAAGAAATCATCTTATCTTTTAAAAATTACTTCCAAAACTAGTGTTCACTTCTGAAATGACATTTAGACTATCATATTTGATAAGTATTTGTTTAATACTTTAGAATTAGTTTAAAGTTGATGGTCAATAAAGCAAAGTTCATATTCCACACAGTACCAGAGACCATAGCAATAACACTGGATGGAGCGGAAACACCAGTTCAAATCACCATGTTCAGCTGAGTGATTTCACCCTCATGCCCTTGAGAAAGGTCTTCAACCTCAGTTGTTCCAGGGATTGGCTGACCCAGCTTTCTCAACTGTACAGCACTTTAGCTAAAATTTGTCTGCTAAAGGAATTTCCATCCATCCATCTTCTGTAACCACTTATCCTATTCGGGGCCGTGGGGGGTCCAGAGCATATCCCAGAGGCTACGGGTGCAAGACAAGGAACAACCCAGGATGGGGCACCAACCCATCGCAGGACACAGCTAAATAAATAAATGTAGATAAATGTAAATGTATTGTCTCACTAGGGTTGCAGAATTCTGGGGATTTTCAAAGTTGGAAACTTTCCATGGGAATTATTGGGAATATATTGGAATTAATGGGAATAAACAGAAAATTAGCAAAACTGCAGGTTAGCCTATAATAGGTAGCTTAAATGTAGTTGAAAAAAATATCTTGATAGCGCTAATAGTGACATCATTGTGTAACCAAGTGCTTTTGAGTAATTATGTGTGTGTAAAAACACATAAAAATAAGCATCTGCATCAAAATGCACTGCTAAGTCATGTTCTATGTTGCATCATTCATACAGTTTGTTTTCTTTATCATATCTGACACCTTTCACAGAGTTCGACAGAGTTTTATATTTCTAAAATTTCCCAGCTTAACATCTCATGGAAAATTTCCGGAAATTTTTCGCCCCTTTGCAACTCTACTTCCCATGGAAAGTTTTTGAAAATTTAGCATAGTGCTCTTGTGATACAGTTGCCTGATCAATAGAGGGCAGCACAGCCCAAAAAATGAACACATTAAAAAATGCCTTTTATTTTGCTTTTCTATAGTGGACCCCGTCCTCAGGTTTACAGGTGTCATACACATCCTCCATGTGTCACCAGATCGATTTTCCTCAGGTTTTGCACCAGCAGATTCAAGATTTGAGTTGCCATGTTAAATTCCCCAGCCATCTGCAGCATCCCATCAAGGCAGTGGGGACATGTTTGGCTGCATTAGCCATGATCATGCTCCACACAGATCCACCCCAGTCATACCTAATTACAGGTCATCTTAAAACTCCCTGATGTACACCCTTCATTCTCACAGCAGATATTTAGGGAAGGAGTAGTGATCCTAACCCTTACACACTCTTGGAGTATGTAGTACATTTTAAATGCACAGATGTTTTTGTATGCACAAGATGTTTTGTAGTGCACAAGTAGCGTTTGTTGTCAGTTATCAGAGAGTATGTCTATTTCGAATTTGATTGTTAGCTGTTCCGTGACCATGCCAAGCTGGTGTTGGTCTGTTGGCAGTACTCAGTTCTTTTGCATACCTGGATAGCGTGCAGTTCCTCCATGAGTGATTTTATGCCTTATTTTTAAGGACATCGGCACAGCCACTTGCAGACTGAAGAAGCTACTGTACATGTTACAGAAGGTAAGGATTTCAGTAGCTTGCCTGGCTTTATCCTACCAGAGCAGCAGAGAGTTCAGGGTTTTTAATTTCATGAAATGCAATGTATCAAAGTCTTTTCTTGTAGTTTTAAATTTCTCACGGTAAATTGATTGTTGCTTCTTAAACTTTTCCCGGACCTTGAGTCATGCTCTGTTATACATCTTTTTGCCACAAGGTGGCAGTGTGTCACGTGGTGTGTGTGTGGTCCTTTATTTAGGACCTGTGTGCCTGTCCCAGCCGCTATACTTCGTGCTGTATGCTGGCCTGCCGCCTGTTGTATAATGTCCGGTTGTTAGGCTGAAGGGAGTGGCCCACAGAGCTTCTTTCATTTTAGCATGCTGCCCCAGAGCGACGTTTCTGACCCCCGTTAGGCGCAGGGTGGCTATGCCAGTCCTCCCTGGCCTTATTTAAACTGGTACTGGGTCTAGGTGATAGACAGCTGGTGCACAGAGCTGTGAGATGACGGGTGTCGTCTCTGTGTCCGTGCTTTCTGGAGGTTTCCTCCATACATGGACCAAACTGCTTTGGGATGGTGTCTTACTGTGTACTATTTTAATAAACGTGATGTGTCTATTCACCCCTAACAGATTGTGCATTTGTTAGTATGGATCAGCTACGCTACTGCACAATTCCCAGTGGTGTTTTGTTCCGGTCTTACTGTGCCTATATATACTTATTCTTCTCTTTTCTCTCTCCTGGGCCATCCCCTGTTATTTTGGAGCCGTGACCTGGTGAGATGACGCATGTCTAGCTCCTCATACCGTCCACCATGGTGGCCATGCCTTTCTACCGAGTTTGGAGATGACTGGGATGGAGCGACGCATTTAATCACACGGCTGTGTTCCTTACGGCGGGAAGAGGGACTGCACTGACATCTCATGCCCGCCATAACTGGACATTTCCTTCATACCCTAAATCTGGCACTAGAACGCTGGGCCAGATGAGCTGTGGTAGAGCATCTTCAGAGCAAGGCAACTTTTGGGTGAGCCTTTGTCTGGTTCTGCTTAGGTTTGAAGGTTTCGGAATGAAGATGGGTCCTTGGTCAGCCTGGCATGCTGGGAGTGTTTGTGCGGTCTGTGCAGTCCGGGGATCCCAAAGTGGGCTGGCTTGGTCATGATCGTGGGAAAACTCCCAGTGTTCAGCGCTTACAGGCAGTAATGTGTGCCAGGTGATGGGAGGGACCTTTACGGCCAGACTCCTGCTGTCTGGAAGCCCACTGTGGTCTTAGCGGTTGCCCGCTGATCGCACAACTGTGGCCCCTGGAACCTGGGCATTGTGGACTGGACAAGGCCCTGCCAGCCGGGGCTGTGTGGGCATCTCAGGCGTTCGGCCTTTAGTGTTTCCAGGAGGAGGGGGGGGCCATGCAAAGGGAGGGGGGAGCTGGGCTGGGAGTTCAGGAGGTGCCGTGATTTGGAAAGGCGGCTGTTTATTGCTGGAGAGTGTATTTATTTCACGCCCCTGCGGGTTGTGGTTCAGGGAGGGGCTGGCCCTGGTGTGTAATTATAGAGGGAGCATGTCTCCGCAGCAGAACCCCTAGCAGGAGCGGCCCTGTGAGATGCCGTCACGTGGCGGGGCTATGTGCAGGACTGCCCTGTGCAGGGGGAGGGCGCTGTGCTGTCCCCTCACCATACCGTACCGCACCTCCGCTGGGCCCCACGCCCACAGGCAGCCCGCAGCCTCCCAGTTCCATAGTAAGTCGAGGTGGGGATTTGGACAGGGTCGGCTCGGCACCCCGAGAGGCGCTGTCGCCCCTTTCCACCGGCCTATTTTTGGTCACCCGGTAAGATGGTTCTTTGATTAGTTCCCTCTAATAGGGGGCTGCTCTTCCGGCTGGTTTATGGGGAGGAAGGGCCTGCACTCAACCACACAGTCGCATAAACTTTGGCTCACAAACAACTAAATTGCTGGTTTTTAATTTATAACAAAATAGGCTGTAGAATAAGTCTGAGATAATTTTGTTTCCTTTAAAATTTAAATTGGCCCTTTGCTGTATTTCCTGTCCCTGTTCATTTGAGGGGGCATCCAAAGAAAACCGCAGTGAATACCTCTCTCTGCTGATAAAACATCCTTTCATGAGCACAGAACTCTAACAAAATTAGTCCTGTATACCCTCCGAAACTGACCTTGTGAACCAGGATGGAAAGTGAACAGCAGATGAACTCAGACTTACCCCACAGGAAACTGTGTCTGAACAGCAGGCTGCCACCACAATCTGCCAAGCTTTTGTTCACCGTTAAATGGAGAGGGAAACTCACAATTAACTTTTAAAGTCTCCTGTAATGAAGCCTTTACCCAGAATGGGCCGTAAACAGCTGAGATGTATGTCAGGATGATGGTATCGCTACTCTGCTGCTTTCTTCCATCAGCTAGAGGACGTGGAGGGTGTCCGAAGGGCGATGGAGAGAGAGGAGGCGTGCAGCTTCTGCTGGTCACCTGTGTGTATGGAAGCTGTGACTGGCACTTGGTTTCACAGCTGTGTGGTTTTGGCTGTTCCTGCCCTGGGTCCTTCTTGTGGGTTTATGCTTGAGTAATCTCCATTCAGGAGGCAGATGATTTAGTTCTGCTCTGATTCATGTTCTCGGAACCAATGTAGCCTTACTCACTGTGTTCTAGGGCACAAAGTTCTTCCCACTGGAGTATTGTTATAAAGATAATAGCTAACAATTCAGGGCTGTTTAATTATGGAGGGGTTTATTTCTTACTACTTGAATCCCAACCAATCTGCTAAATTAAAAGCCACATATACCAACAGTGGACTGTAGTGTCTTGTCACTGATCCATCTTTTCACACGCCTCATGCTTCAGCACCGCTTTAACACTTGTGTTTTAATGCAGGAGTCTATTTTAACTCAGACAACATGTTCATCCTGTTTTTTTTTTTTTGCATCACAAGGTTGCCAGATCTCATGCATTTGGCGTGACACGCTTTCAGACTCTCACGTTCACGCAAGAAATCTTAGTACAAATCCTTACGATTTCATTATAAACCTAAGATTATAAGACTATAATAGTTTGCAAACTATACAGACTATTTACAAGGTAATAAAACAGTTACATACATGTAAATGCTTGAACATGTGTGCAGACTGGTCTCACTCCAGCCAGCTGACCAAAGTTGGCAAACGTGCATGATATGAGGTCGTCCATGGTCCATATGGCGGCATGAAATTACAGTGGCTGCCTTTTCCGAAAACCCATAATTTAATTAAATTCATAAAGATTAAACCGTATTTTCATGTAATTTTAACATACATTAGTGATACGAGTTTTCAACTAAGGAAGACAAAATAAAAATGGAGAAATGTGGGAGGGAAGGAAAAGAGGGAGGGTGGAAGAGAGGAGAACAGCAGACCAAGACCACGTCTTTGTCACACACTTGCTTCGCTCATTCACTTTCTCCCCGCCAGCTTCGCAAATGGCTCGCAGCGGCGCAATGACAGGTGAGTCGCGTTTGGCTTTTTTGCGCCAGGGGCTCTTTCGATGTTCACCACACTGCGGTCTTCATTCCGGGCTCTTCAGCACATCTGAGTATGCGAGTGCTGTCTGGAGATTTGTGTTCTGTCTTAAGCCAAACAGAGAGTTACTTCTCTAGCGGTTTTTTTGCACTTAGGCAAAAGTTCCGCAAATGGTTTGCGACATTTACAGTTTAATTTACAAAATGTTTGAGGTACCAATAAAATTGAAGGGCTCGATTTATTCGCAGGGAGGTTACTGTTTGGTCATCTACAAGGCAATTTAAAGCGCTCGTTACTGTGGAGTTATACTTTAGGGACCAAAAGAAATTAACTTAGTGCAAACTTGTTTATTTTTTCAAAAACCAATGTGTTTTTCATTAATACCAATATGTATGACTGTTGCTTTTTCTCGATACGCTTCGTGAATTCTAGTTTATAATCACTTAAATATGAGATTATTTTACAGACTGTAACAGAGATATTTCAAACTAAAGAGGTCCCTCATTGCCATTCTTAATGAAAGCTAGGCCTATATGAATATGATAACGACTAGTGTCGTATTTGTATAACATATTTATAATGACAAGGAGTCTATATGCATTAAAAGCGTTTGGTAATCATTACACTGTTTGTGTGGCTGTGCAATAGTGTCCGCTACCACAGTATAGTATATATAGGCTACAAAATCTGAAATTTAAACGATGATAATAGGGCAATTTAAATATAACGTTCACCGTAAAGCTATGCCTATAATCTCTGTAAATTAACATAAGTGAAAGACAGAAAATTGCTTACGCACAAAATTTGTGACATATATAATGCTTTGTTTCTTGGAAAGGGGTTTGCAAAGCGATTTTAATTTAATAGGCCTATATTTTATATATGCATGCTTCGTTGATTGTTTTCCATTTCTATTCCCCATTATATTTACGTTTAGTGGTTCCCTGCTGTCTTTAACAGAAGCGACGCTGGGTTCCCTGATGTGCCTCATGTCGCTGCTCCTTTCTGCGCACGGGGTCCCGCGGTCCTCCGGCCGTGAGTCAGCTGTCAAGGTGCGCCTTGCGGGCTTCGCTCCCTCACAGAGGGAGGGTCGTCTTGAAGTCCTCCACAATAACACCTGGGGTACTGTCTGCGACGACGAAATTGACATTAATCTAGCCAACGTTGTCTGTCGAGAGCTGGGCTTCCAGAGCGGCATCACCTGGGCTCACAGCGCCAAGTACGGAGAAGGAGAAGGTGCGAGCGCCGTTCATGTATGCGATCTTCCTTCTCATGTATTTTTTATTTTTCCATCTATCTTCCAACAGCTTATAACGATCGGGGTAGTGGGACTTTTTATTCTGATAAATGCTGTTTCAGAAGTACGTGGAGCGCGGTTTCTCGTTAGTGCCTCTTCGGGCTGCAGGTGGTCAACCATGCGCTGTGACGTCGGAATGAGTGTAACATTGGTGGGGGGGTTGCGATATATATTGCACACATGATTTTTAAATCATTAATAAGAGATCAAGATTTCATCATTTAGCATAAGAGTAACACTCTTTAGAGTTGTTTCAAGACTAACTAAAAAATAATTGATCCGTATGATAAAAAGTAAATTTGTCTTCGATGGGTAGGCCTATATGATTCGTCCTCGCGCTCTGAATTCGCAGCGAATTGCTCACACTAGTATTCATAATGAAAACGATAAGGAACGCGCTGTTAGTTTATCTTATGTGTTTGACTTATGACAGAAACGCGTTGAATAGCAAAACAAACAAAAAAAAACGCAAATTGATTTCTTTTTAATATCGTTCAGCCCTAAATAGCTATATGTTCATGTTCATTTTTGGGAGTGGGGATCTGCCAATATTGCTGGGGACTCCCCCCGTTTCCGACGCCCCTGGTCATGCGCAAAGGATGCTAGGCGCGCCTCCGACTCATATCAAGCCTAAATAACTTTTTATTGTTTACGGCCGTATAGATTTATGTTGCCTGTTGTAAAGTTGCGCATGTCGTCTTTACGTTGCCAGTCGGTTTAAATTAAGAGGCTCTTTAAAGCCTCGGATAAACTATGGCCAGGGTAGGACGATGCTGGCAGGAAACACTATCATTAAGCAGAAGTGAATGGCCTGAACATCATATAGGCTATATATATGGCATATATCATCAACTCCCACAGCCTTAAAGAACTGCTCTTGAATGGTATTACAGGGCTTTCTAGCTGTTTGATGACAGCCATTTTCATTTGCCTGGTTGTTTTGAGATGGCAGTCTTCCTCTTGACCTTGGTTGCCTTTAGCAAAGCACATGCCAGTGGCTGGGGCAATATTGCTTGGGTAAGGGTTAAGTGTTCGCTGTCACAGCCTCTAAATTATATTAGGTTGGTCCTTCATGTCTCTTCTTCATGTCTTCAGAGGGTCTATCTTCATGCAGTCTTATGGTCCCAGAAGAATATTCTCATTCTAGCCATTTGCCTCCTCAGGTCCAATCTGGATGGACAACGTGCGCTGTTCTGGCACCGAGACGTCACTGACGAAATGCCGCTCCAATGGCTGGGGCATTCACGACTGCACGCATGCGGAGGATCTGGGCGTAGTGTGTTCTGAAGAGCGGAGGGCGGAGGGGCCGCGCCCGGGCGACTTGACCATACAGCGGGGCCACCAGGTCTCCCAGCGGGGCAACGTAAGCGTGGCGCGCTACTGGAACAACGACATGCTGGGCCAGAGGCACCAGGACCCGGGCCACCTGGGCAACAGTGTGGCAGACAGCCAGGACCGGCACTACAGACCTGCACCCTACAGCAGCCCTCTGGGCCCGGTGAGTGGATTTGCCACTCCGCGCACCGTCATGGAGCCACTGCCATCTCCTTTCACCTGACAAACCTCGAGTTGCCTTTTTGTCACACTGCCGTCACCCAGATCCCCAGATGGGTGTAAATGGGTATAGGTGCAACACCCCCAGTGCTGTGTGCATAAAACCATGATCCCTCCTCCCCATATGCTAGACCCTCCCTTGTGATTCTGAGTGTGGATTTAATGGGTTCTGGCCAGTGCCTCACACTGGAGGAAGCAAAGGGAGTACTTCACACTGGCTTCAACAGGAGTTGGACTCCATAATGTTGAAGGACAGTGTTAGAGCTTCAGCTTTGTGTCTATTATGTCTAATAACATGACAGATCCTTACCCACAATCCTCCTCTGCTGTCCATTGCCTTATCCAGAACCACAAAGCTGGGGCCAGTGCGAGCTACCTTGGGGATCTGTCTAGGGGGTTCCTTCTCTGCATCTGAACAGAAGAGTCACACACTGTATCCCCAGGGCTCATGGGAGTTTTACTTACACAAAAATGTTCTGAGGGCAGAAAGAAAAATGATTGGTTCAGAGAAATAACAAATCAGATTGTAGAAGAGGTGGGTCCAAACAACTAGAGAAGGTCTCGTCACAATCCTCTACAATCTGATTGGTTATCTCTGTGAACCAATCATTTTTTTGCTCTGTCCTTAGAACATTTCTGTGTTAGTAAAACTCCCACAAGCGTCCCCAGAGCCCTGCTAATGTATTCACCCTCTGCCCACAGGCCTTCGACAGGGTGCGAATCGAAGAAGTCCGTCTGCGGCCCATCCTGACCTCCACCAAGAACCGGGCGCTGGTGACCGAAGGCGTGCTGGAGGTGAAGCATGCTAGGAGGTGGAGGCAGGTGTGCGACTTGGGCTGGAACCTTAACAGCAGCAGAGTGGTGTGTGGCATGCTGGGATTCCCCGTGGCCACACAACACAACACCAAGGTGTACAAGTACGTAGCCTGTGGGCGCTTGGGGAACTACTGAATTTAGTGATTTTCTCTTCTGGAATAGCAGTGAATCTTGGCTGGTTCTGACCCGATCCGAGATAATAGCCTCTTTAATTATGTTTGCACTAAAGGTACAAGTCCGGCTATGTTTGATTAATTGACTGCTCCTCTCCTATTTTCACTTGGCCCTGCTAGCTCTCTACTATCATGTTGACTCTAGGGATTCTGGGATTCTCAGCATTAGTCTATTTGGGGTGCGGAATTAGAGCCAGGTATTGGGCAAGCCTCATTTCCTGGTTAACAAGGGGCCATCCCCTGCACTGTTGGGTTCCAGTCCCGTAATCTCCTGGTTAACAAGGGGCCGTCCCCTGCACTGTTGGGTTCCAGTCCCGTAATCTCCTTGTAGGACAGGGTGCAGCTTGAAGCCCGCACCCCACTTGCCCGTCGTGGGGAGGCTGGCATGCATGGCCCTGCTATCCCTCTCCATTCAGAGGATGCATGTGTGCGGACGTGCCAGTTGGGGTGACTCCCAAGGCTTCTCGCAGTGCCACATGCACATACAGTTATTTTTAGGGGCTGAGCTGGCCTGCTTCGGAGAATGAAGACTGCAGTACCACACAACACTGTCTGATTATGGGCCGGGCCTTAAGCTGTCCTGTCTGCGATCGTACCTCCTGGCCTGTTTAAATCCTGCTGATGGACTGCGCCTGAAATGTCTGCTGAAACCCCCCCAACCACCCCGCCCCAGCAGTGGAGCAGCTCACAGCTCAGGCGGGGGGCCCTTCCAACCGCTCCCAGCATGCACCAGTGGCCTTCACCACTGGGCATTGTAGTGTTAGCATAGACAGTATACTGCCACCTGATTCCATCCTGCCTGCCCCAGTACATCATCTCAGGGGTGGGCTGGGCCTGCTCTGTGCTTTCCCTTGTCATCTCCCAGTTATTCACAGCACAGTTGTTCAGCCACACATGAAGTCATCTTCCCTCAGCGGCTCTAAATTCACTCCAGTTGTTGATTTTACTTTTTTGGGTGAAAGTATCCGAATAGGAAAACAGCCATTTTAAGGCCTGCTGCCCACCCTCTGTCACAGCACTGTGCACAGCTCACGTTTCATATAATTTTTATATTTATATTTTCCCAGTTGCTGTAATAAGTAGGCAATCCTCTGTAAGCCTTCATCAGTAACCAGTGGACGTCAAGCTGCCTGCCTCACTAAACTCACTAAACTCTCTGCCTGTCCATCTGTCCCGTACCTGTGCTGCATAGTTCTGACCACAGATCCTTCTCTGCATTTAATAACTGTACCTATTGTATTCTACGTGAACCTATTGTCTGTTTAACGTTTTTTTCCTAACCGATACTCTCCTTAGATTTTCAGTGTTTCGACAGTTTCATCCTAATGTCTGATTGTCAGCCTGGAAATCAGCACCCATTAGCAAATGGTTAGCTTGCGCTAATTTTGTTAGCCATCCGCTGGCTGTGTCTCTGTCTCTGTCTCAGACCATAGGTGTTGGAAGGCCCTGTAATGGTTTGTATGGGCTCATTTCAGCTCTTTTGTGAATGGCATCTAATCTGGCAGAGAGGTACTGAGGAGCCCGCAGTTTGGGGACAGGAATGTAGCGGAGGGCAGGCTAATGACTGCACCTTGATGGTGGGCGTGGCTTCAGGGATGCAGAGGGATGTTTAGTTGTGAAACTGGGCTCTTTAAGTGAAACAGAGAGTTTGTTCTAGCTGTGGAAGGGGGGGGTCTTTCAGTTGTAGAATGGCAGGTGTTAAAAACGTGAAAAGGTATTGTCTCCCGTGACGGTCGTCATGGTGACAACACCCCACCTGTCTGGCCCTGCTCCACCCAGTGCGGGTCTCCTGCTGGACCGCCTGCTTGCCCCCCCCCCCATGAGTTCCTTGCTAACAGGGCCATAATTGCTGCTTGGCAGAGGCTGTGCTTTCCTGGGGTCTAGCTGTGCGTGAGCAGCGTTCAGTCACCGCCATGTCCTGCCTGCTGTGTCAGCGGCTGCCTTTGGCACCACAGCGGATTTAAGGATTTCAACCGCATTTTTGTTTAATTACCGTCTCGCTGATGTAACTTTTTGCAGGGCATAATTCCTCTGGTTTTGTAGGTCCTCTTTTAGATTTAAGTGTTCTCCAATTATCTCGTCTCTAATTTATTTGTATGCTTTGGAACGCAGTTTAAAGCCTTCGGTCATGTTTTTTCACTCTCACTGGAACCATCTTCTGTCTGAGTGCCACCGGTTGAGGTATTTCCCTATTTTTTCAAACAAGTGAAGCAGTTTGTTTCTGGCCTCCGGGCATGGGGAAGGTCGGTGTCAGCCGTGAGATGTCCCGGGCTCACTAGCTTTTAGCGAATTAAAGGGTTTTAGTCAATGAAAGCAACAGCTGCCTCCCCTCCACCCCCCCCCAAAACCCCAACCAATTGTACCAGACCCCAGGGGAGACAGGGTCAACTCAGTGTCACCCTGGGAATTCACAACCGCAACCTACAAATGCTATAATACCAGTGGTGGAACTAAAGGTTGTTTCCTGGGAGGAGACATGTGGCTCTGTGGTCTGGTCTGGAAGTACTTCCCCTTACACGTGACTTAAATTCGGCATGGTGTCGTCTCAGTACTGAAGTCTTGGAGCTTGACACCATCCAAATGCATCTGTCAGACCTCAATTGCTGTGTACATCGAGGAAGAACGAGTGAATGCCTTTCTCATATTCTTGACTGAGGTAAAAGTCTCCTCACCTGTGGGGCGAGTGGGCTCTTTCGCTAGCTAGCCTGGGTCTGCGGTAATTGGGGGGGCGATGGGGGGGGGGCATGCTAGGGTGGTGCCTCAAGGCTGATTACAGCCTGGCGTGTGGAGGGGTGGCAGCCAGAGAGTTTTTGCAGTGTTTATGTATAGCCTAGGAAGGCCCAGGACCCTGCACTGCACTTTCAAACCAACTTCTCACTAATTCCGCTTCACCATGTGTCTGTACTGCCGGGAAAACACCACTGTACATGCCACATGAGTACTTGTGCAGCGTACACCTGTTCTTAATCAGCTCACAAGCACTGTACTGAGTCTTGTGACTCACAGTGGACGTTCTTCACATAATTGGACTGTCAGTTTCAATTCTCAGCTCATTATTAATCTTTGTTTTTAATCTTGGATATTTTAGTCTTGGGCAACTCTATCTGGATGGAATGACTTTTTACTGCTTTCATTTTGTTTGATTTTTTTAGTGGGGAAAAATATGCATTGTTTTAGATGTCAGATTGATATAGTGTTTTTTATGTAGTGTGTCTTAGCTTAGAAAGCTGCTATGATTAAGCATTGTTCTGTGTCTACTCTGCGCAGCATCATGTTACCAGAGAACCACATTACAGACGCAAGCGGGTAATTTTGGGCACATAAATAAGGTCGCTGTAGGAACTGAGCTAAATGCAGCATGTTCTTGTCCCATCCAACCACAGCCTGACAGGCACTTTCCCTGTGGTGAGAATGAGCCGCTGTGGGTTTTGAAGTTGTGCATTGGATTCTGTGATGGCCCATTTTGAGATGGTCCCTTACGCACCTGTCCCATACGCACCTGTGTGACATTCCCTAGCCTGCCATTTTGAGGCTGTCCCAACCATTCAGGTTGCAGACAGTGCCTAGTGTGACTTTTTTAGGCAGTCCCTAGTATGACATATTCAGATTGCCACTACCTTGCGGTTTTCACGCAGTCACATGTTTCACATCATGCAGTTTTCAGACAGTTCCTAGCATGCCATTTTCACACAGTCCCTAACCTTCCTGGCATGCCAAACACAGCTGATGTTCCGAGATGAAGATAGACATCCATCTGTTTTCTTGTTCTCTTGCACAAATTGCTATGATAAAACAGCCCCCAGGAGCACCAATGTAAAAGTCACTGTCCAGCAGTGGTCATCATCATCTGGTCAGCATGTTAGCAAAGGACATGATGGGCAGAGGCCATGTGCGTGTGTCTCATTCATAGCCACATGGAGTGTGATATAAAGCCCCGCATCTTAGTATCTGTTACTCACCCCTCCCATATGAGGGCACTCATTGCTGCTGCCCTTTCATCAGCCACGACCTGCTGCTTGATGCGTGTGTCGTCCTCGTTCTCTTGCCTCTAGATCTGCATTCTGCTTTACCTTTAATTAACCAGACACTCGGTGGTAATGACCTGGTCTGAAATGCTGAGCCAATCACATGGCACCATACGGGTTACCCACAAGCCCACCTGATATTAGTGATGGACAAAATGATGCTCCATGAACCATTTGCTGTATTTTTTAACTCCACTAGATGGTGCTCTCTTCCAAAAAGGGCACAAAACATGCCCCAAAGCAAACCAAGAGCACAATCTAGTGGAATCATAAAATATTGACAGATGTTTCTTTTTTTTGTCCATCACTACCTGACATGTTTATGCACATGGCAGTCACATGGCACTGTACAGGTTACCCACAAGCCTCCCTGATATATTTATACATTGCTGTATTGACTGGGAGCCTGCATGTCTAAGCATCTCGTTTGTGCAGAGGTAGCTGGTTCCACAGGAAACAGGCTTTGTTTTCCAGTACCCTCTCCTAACTCCCTCTCTTCTTTCCAACAGAAAAATATGGGATTTAAAGATTGCCGACTCATCCTCCAGGTGAGACCCTTAAATCCTTTTTAAAGATGCATTAAAAGTGATGTCACTGGCCAGGCCACTCTCACCTCCGACTTCCCCCACAGGCTGGGCATCTTGGCCAGAAAGAAGGGCTTCTGGGTGGAGAAGGTACACTGCCTGGGCACTGAGAGCAGCCTGTCCCAGTGCCGCGCCCAGCTGTCCATCCCACGCAGCCCCGCCCCTTGCCCCGGGGGCCGCCACGCCATTGTGCAGTGTGTCCCTGGGCCCCAGTTTGTGCGTATTTCATCCGGCCGGCCTCAGGCTCCACACCCCAAGGAGGTGAGTCACCTCTATGGTTTAAATAAAATGGGTGGTCTGATTGGTGGGCCTCTAAGCAAATGAGCAGTGGATGGAGCAATGGTTGATACAGTTTCTATGGTGTCACTCTGCCATACCAGCCAATCGTGCGACTGAAGGCGGGGCCCCGCCTGGGTGAAGGTCGAGTGGAGGTGCTGAAGGAGGGGAAATGGGGGACAGTGTGTGACCACCTGTGGGACCTGACGGCAGCCAGCGTGGTGTGCAGGGAGCTGGGCTTCGGGACGGCCCGTGAGGCCCTCCGGGGGGCGCGCATGGGCCAAGGTGAGTGATGGGCCATGCAAAGAACCACCTATCAGGAACCAACTGGACCGTGATTGGTTAAAGCTCAGTTTGGCATACACTCCAGGGGGGGCTGTCAATGCTTGCAGGGTTTCTATCTTATAAACATTGTGAGAGGAGATTCATTCAGTATTAAGAACGGGTGCCGCCGTTTATGTGTGTAAGGGTTGAAGTATACAGTGACTTGCATGACCTTGGGCTCTGCCGGATATGATGCCAGTTAATGATGGTTGGCTTTTCGCAGAGGTCCAGTGCTGGTTGTTTGGTAACACTCAGTTCAGGGCTGCCTCTGCCTGCCGTGTGCATGGTTTCTCAGCCATTTATTTGCCTGCTTGTGATTTGACTGTATGACGTTTCAGGGCTGTGAGTTTGGAGATGCTCATGATAACTAGATTAACCATGTCCTCATTTTACAGACATTGCCTGGTCAGTGTCATGCTAGCAGTTGACAAACAAATCCAGTCCAGACTGGCCTTCATTTTTGCCATCGTCAGCTTCATCTGGGCTTGTCTTTTCTCTTTTAGCTTTGTTTAACCTTATCTTGGCCCCTGGTAGGCTTTGTTTGGCCTCTTGGTTAGTTCTGCTGTAACAATAATGGAATTACAATGGAATCTGGCTAAAATTTGAAAAGAACTGACTTTTGCTTAAATGCCATCAGTTCTCTGCTATTGTACCCCAGCTATCATATTATACTGCATAATGGGTTGCACCTCTCACCAAATGCATGACATTTTGGTAAAGGATTACCTCTGCTGTAGAATTTCCCTCCTTTTTGACCCTCTGAGGCTGAATGGTGAAATTGCGACACGTATAAGTAGTTTGTCTCTCCGACCCATGAAGATCACCCTGGCGGGTTCCTGATGTGGTGTGTGTGTGTGTGTGTGTACGTGTGTGTGTGCGTGTGTGTGAGCGTGAGTGTGAGCACGAGTGCTGCGTCTGCCACACAGGTGCGTAAGGGACCAGCTGTGCACTGGGGGTTTGTTTGAGATTCCAGGCAGTTCTGGAGTGCTTTCCGGTCCCTGCTTATCTTGGGACTCCATGCCACTTTGCCTCTCTATTGAAGGCTCCTTGCACTGATGCACATCCTAGGCTCCTTTGATGAGTTGCTCTTGACCGTGATGCGATTGACACGGCGACACTGCTTGGGGGAGGTACCTGCTCAGCTGGTGCGTTGAAACACTCGCAGAATCTCTCAGATCTATGCCAACAGATTCGCTTTAGTGCTGAGTTCAAAGGTCTAGAAGCACGCGGATCCTCGGACATGTCAGCCTCCAGGGTCCATCAGCCAATGAACGATGAATGTAGTTTGGACTCCTCCCCCCTGTCTAAGTACTGCAGCTGCGGGAGTCGAAGGATGACGACATGCTGTTCTTCTGTACTATTCATGTTGGTTAGTCTCACATTAAAGAGGCTTCATGCAAACCGCCTGTGTGTGGCTTGAGATTTTCAGAGCAGATATGATGGATTCATACTTGGCACTGGAGTGTAAACGGCCTCAAAATGAAATAATCCTGTTCAGCCCTTTCTTTTAAACTGTTTTGGATAAAAACAAAGTTCTGTTTGCCACGTAGGTGCTTCAGCAGGCCAAACAGCTCTTAAAGTTACGCCAACTTTGAGACAGACAGGAAAATACTGGCTCTTGCTTGTATTTTTTTATCCATGAGAATGTATTTAGTCTGTTGTCATTCATCCTTCTTACTCAGATTCTAGTACATGGTTTGTTCATGTCTAAATGGCTTTGTTAACCCTCCTTCTAGTAAAGCAAGCACCAACCCACACTTGTGATAGTTTAGCCTGGTAACCCAATATTCCCATGGTACTGTAGGGCAGCACAAAGGAATAGAATATGGTCCCTCTCTCTGATGTAAAATGTCACGTCCCTGCTGCTGTTTCTGCTGGGGACTGTGACAGTGCATTCTGAGCATGATCGGTGACGACTGCTTACTGGTCTCCTCGCATTGTGACCTTCCCTGGCCCAGTCAGAAACGGGTAGGTGCCATAACTATGACGGCCACTAGGGGTCCCACTGAGCAAGAATCATTAAAGGGGCGTGTTTACTCAGAAGTCACAGGAAGCAGAATAACACTGAGCTCCACGCTTCCTTTGGGGACCTCGTCTGCTGGCCTGTCTTCACATGAGCATGACGCCAATGAAGAGTAAGCAGGCTGACGTACATCCCCCTTGGCCTTCCTGCTCGGATGGAACTGGCTTAATGATCGGCCCGACCCCTGATGGGGCGCTTTGTGTTATAATTTCCCTTCGCTTCGTCTGACAGCCTGGCTCTGCTTCCTACAGTATTTGCTGTTAATGGTGCGTAGCTGGCCCCTAATGACAAACGTGAGTGTTGATGAAATGTGCTGCAGCAAATGGGCTTGGTTAAATGAACCAGTACGAACTGGCCATTCCAACTGGCCTTCATTTAGAACACGTTTATATTTACATGGCACAGGCACGTCTACGCTATGCGGAAGCGGCGCTGAGCGTGCTCAGTGTGCCTCAAGCGTCCTGGGGGATGGATGCCATGCAGTCCCTCTACCATCTGTGGCATGGGCCTCGTTTCTCGAGAACAGCCGCAGTCCTGTTCCCTGCGCTTGTAAACTGGAGTGGGGATGGACTGTGGACTGGGCTTTGCTGCAGCCCCTCCATTGTTGTAGTTATTTACGATTTCAGTATGTGAGTCAGCTCGCTGGCCATGTTGTTCTCTAACTCTAATCCCTCAACCTCAGGCACGAGATGCTCATGGGAACTTCGGAAGGGTGAAAACAAAATTGCTAGGATTTTTGGTGGTACCGTTAGATGCAGAAAACACAGAGACTCGTATTTGACCTCCTGGGGCTTTATTTTCTACATGTAATTTACTATTTGACATGTACGTTTGTGTTTTAATGCAGCACATTTATCCGGCCACTAGTGGCCACTGCAGTTTGTGGGAATCCACCTGCACAATGACCCGGTTTCCTCAGAAGCATAAACATCCGTCCGCCTTAGTTTGCAGGAACTCGGCCTTATCACTCCTGTAGGTTTTCATTGCTGGTTTAAGGGCACTTATACATTTAAACCAAACTGGCCCCGGGCCTCTGGACGTCACATTCACTTTCACCCGTCCCCCGCGGTCACGCCAGATCGTGTGGGGCCGTCCTCACTTCACGCCTTTGCTTTACAGAGAGCAGAGAATGCAGGTAATGGTCTGTAACGAAATGAAAGCCCTCCCTGGCTTTGGCTGAGCTGGAGTGGGGTGGGTACACCAATCTCACAGGGGGTGTTTCTGATGGGACAGGAACATTCTGTACACTCACACATGGGTGCGGCTTTGGCTGCCGCATGACTGTGGCCCAGCAAGCTCTTCCTGTTAGCGAGCCGTGCAGCTAACCCAGCTAACCCGACCTAGCAAGCTTTTCCTGCGAGCTGAGCAGCTACACCAGCAAACTCTTCCTGTTAGTTAGCCGTGTGGCTAACCCGGCTAATTCAGCCCAGCAAGCTCTTCCTGCTAGTTAGCCATGTGGCTAACCCGGCTAATTCAGCCCAGCAAACTCTTCCTGTTAGTTAGCCGTGTGGCTAACCCGACTAATTCAGCCCAGCAAGCTCTTCCTGTTAGCGAGCTGCGCGGCTAACCCAACTAACCCGGCTCCTGTTCTGCAGGCACTGGACCCATCCACATGAACTCAGTGCAGTGCTCTGGCGCTGAGGGCTCCATTAGACTCTGCCATTTCCAGGAGGTGCCCCCCCGGACCTGCAAGCACAGCCAGGACGCTTCCGTCCGCTGCAACGTGCCAAAGACTGGGCTGGAAAAAACGGTAAGGCTTGCCTTCCTCACCATCAGGGGGAGCTCTCCCACAGCAGGGCCACTGTTTTAGCCTCTGTTAATCCCCTGACTCTGCCCCCAACCCCAGGTGAGGCTGGCAGGAGGCCGGGTGGAAGGTGAGGGCCGCGTGGAGGTGCTGATGTCCGCGGGCGGCCGCAAGCGCTGGGGGGCTGTGTGCAGCGAGAACTGGGGCATCAATGAGGCCATGGTGGTGTGCCGGCAGCTGGGATACGGGTTTGCCTCCCAGGCCCACGAGGTGAGCGTGATCGGCAGGAGAGGGTGTTCATAATCGTCCAAAAAGGTCAGGAAGGAAAATGAAACATAACTAAAAGAACTGAAGTTAGGGCAGGGCAAGCAGGAAGGCATTGCAACAGTCATGCTATAAGGGTGTAATGTGGAGTGGGCGTAAGCGGAGTTACATCACAGGAAACCAGTTTGGGGTCAATTTAACACTTGCTCCTTTCTAAAAACAGACACCTGCAAAAACAAATTTCACTGTAAATCAGAGAAATGGTCTCTTAAGCAGGACTCTGACGCACTGAGCTATTAAGGGTGAAGCGAGGGTGTAGTTAGGGCGTTTGTGAGCTGGGTCTGAGGAAGCCCTTGTTCTCCTCTGAGTGCTGCAGGGTGCTGATAAGGGCTGGGGACGTCTCCTTAGACACACCGAGCCTTTCTACCCTTAGAACAGAAAACAAACTGAAAATAAGGGCTCCATGGTCACGGCCAGAGTAAATGGGCATCTGCGGCTGATTTGCCCGGCTGATCTGCTCCGCTGCTGCCCGCAGGAGACCTGGTACTGGCCCGGCGATCCTGGTGCCAGCGAGGTGCTGCTGAGCGGGACCCACTGTGTGGGAACGGAGCTGTCCATCCAGCACTGCCGGCGGAACCCGCATGTGCACTGCCCTCGGGGGGGCGGGGTCAAGGCCGCCGGTGTCAGCTGCACCGAGAGTGAGTGTCACTGCCCCAGTGGCCAAGCCCAGTGAATGTTCAGTCACCTCACTCCCACTGCAGAAGTATTCAAATTGTGGGGTGCGCCCCCTTTGTAGGCTGCAGCGGAATTGCAGGGGGAACACTGGTGAGGGAATAAAACAGAACTGTCTGTGTGTGGGGAAGGGGGTGAGGTGGGGGCAGACATATTTCAAAATTGCAACTTTGCTCAGTTAGTGCCTGCGTACTTGAAGGGACCATGGAGAATTTTTTTTTTAAAATATATCAGCCCTTGGGATGCCCTGTCAAAAAACAATCTGACTACTTCTGATTCGCTGGCTCCACCTTCCAGCTGCACCGGACCTGGTACTGGACACCCAGTTGGTCCAGGAGACGGCCTATCTGGAGGATCGGCCTCTGCACCTGCTCACCTGCGCCAACGAGGAGAACTGTCTGTCGTCGTCAGCGAGCCGCATGCGCTGGCCCTATGGCCACCGCCGCCTGCTGCGCTTCTCCTCCCGCATCCTCAACCTGGGCCTAGCTGATTTCCGCCCGCGGGCCTCCCGCGAGTCCTGGGTGTGGCACCAATGCCACAGGTGGGTGCCATCGCGATCCGAGGGGCACGGTGGTGTGGGGCGTGTTGGGATGTGACCCAACACTTCCCCAGGATGTGGTCAGACAGTCACGCCTGGCATTGGGATCCTGGTCCTTCTCTGGGATCTTGGCTGGCAGCTGTAGGCTCACACAGGCCTGAGGTTTATGCCAAAGTATCCTAACTAGTGATACACAAAATGATGCTCCATGAACCAGTTACTGTATTTTTTGACTCCACTAGATGTTGCACTCTGTTGAAAAATGGGCACATAGCAAAACAAGAGCACCATCTAGTGGGGTCAAAAAATACAGCAAATGGTTCATGAAAAGTAATTTTGTCCATCTCTAATCATAACCCCTGTGCCACCATCATATGACCTTATTAGTCTGCCTCTCCTTGTGGTGAATTATTCTCCAATAACCTTCGTGAAGGGCTGTTTTTGTGTAGCTCGACCAGTAGTGTGTTGTGCTAGAGTTTCTGAGGTTGTGGGTTCAAATCCCAGAGAACACACATAAATCTTCATTAATATGGCACTGTTTTATCCACAGGATTTACAAAGTGCCACAGAAATTAAAATAAGCATAACAATAAATTGTAACTTTCCCCTCTACTGTACCCAACACCGTAGGGTAACCTCCCAAGACACTGGAGTCATAGTCTGAATTGGTGCTCACTGCTGCCTCAGCCTGACTGGTACGTCCTTCCTGTGTGTGTTATAGGCACTACCACAGCATCGAGGTGTTCACCCACTACGACCTGCTGACTCTGAATGGGACCAGAGTGGCAGAGGGTCACAAGGCCAGCTTCTGCCTGGAGGACACTTTCTGTCCCGACGGTACGTGAAGGTCCCTACCTGTATGCTAGTACACTCAGAGCCATGCTATCCCTAATCCTGCAAATTTGCGGTTTATTATTATTTTTTTTACGTATTAGAAGCGGGGAGTTCCGGTTCTGGCCCAGTTGGGCCAGTTTGCATGCAGTGCTTAAGTCTTGCTTTGGTACCGCTGGTCAGGAGCTGACTCGGCCTCGTCTTCTCACCTTAGGATTGCAGAAACGCTACGCATGCTACGGTATGGGGGAACAGGGCATCTCTGTGGGCTGTTGGGATACCTACCGGCACGACATTGACTGCCAGTGGGTCGACATCACCGACGTCAGGCCCGGGGACTACATCTTCCAGGTCAGAGGTCGCGTGTGGGGGAGCGGGAAGACACTGCAGTGCTGAGCTGTGTGTTCTGTAATAATTACATGGTGACATCATGGAGACAGCAATCTGGATGCCTATTCATTTGTTTAGACGGTGTGTAGCTATGATAGGGGTGCATATTTTCAGCTTATTCAGCAGTTCGTAATTACAGTGTGGATCGGAATGCTGCGGTCCTGCTTGAAAGGTCAACCTGGTCCTGGGGCGGAACGTAAAGGAGAGCGAGGGAATCCAGCTACCCCCCCAGTCAGACAGCCCTGCTCCTGCTCTAATCTTTCCGATCAGGGGCCCTATTTTTAAGCAGACGCTTTTTAAATACAAAATGGTGCACAGTCACTAAAGTGCAGCCGCACCGCGCCCAACCAAGGTCCCCTCCATTAGAAACGCTCCATTTCACTTCTGCGTTTTTACACGCAGGAAGCCCAGAGTCAGCCAGGGGCTCAAATCCACGACCTGTAATTTAGAAAGACCTAGCGTGCTCTCACTCGCTGGGGGGGGCAATCCTCCTATACTCCAGACGGTCCTTACCACTCTGCCACTGCAGTGAATCTGCACTACCAGTGCAAAGTGGCAGGTCAGTAGGCAGTAGGGAAACCCGTAAAATTCCCATAATCCACTCTGTTTGTGCCAGGTCTAGAGAAACAATGACAACACCGGGTACTGTGTAGATGTTATGTGAAGATGATTCAGCAGTTTAATTAAATATAAAAGTCTAATTGCTTAAGTCTTGGTTTCTCAGATGTGCATGTACCGTATAAATCAGATTTCATTACAAACCTGCAGTAAACATTTGGATACTAAAGTCTTTAAAACTGTATTGCTGTTGTATTTTGCTTATTTTTCTTTGAAGTACAGCATGGGTGTATGAAGTCTGTGTATCATTGGTATATGGATTCTGTGTATCTTAGCAATATGAAGTCTGTGTAGCTCTGGAATAGGGAGTCTGTATCTATGGAGTACACAGTCAGAGTATCTTTGGAATACCAAGTCAGTGTACCTTTGGAATACAGAGTAGGTGTATTTTTGCAGTAGACTTTGTGTATCATTGGCAGTGGTGCTGTAAAGGGGGGGGGGAGTTAGGATGAGTGACAGGAGCCCTAAAAAATTTGGAACATAATCTGATTGATCTGGATTGGGGGCCCGATATAATGTGCTTTCATGGGGCCCAAAACCTATAGTGACCCCTCTGATCATTGAAATATAGAGTCTGTGTCTTAGTAGTACAAAATCTGTGTATGATTGAAATATAGAGTCTATATCTATGGAGTACAGAATCTATATATCTTTGAAGTACAGAGTCTGTGTGTCTTTGCAGCATATTTTTGTTTCCAGCTGAAATATGGAGAAACCATTTACGCTTTTTATAGACATGAATCAGACGGGCTATAAAAACAGTCCAGGGCAGCTTTGGCTCCCTGTAATGAGAGGCCTGCCCCCCCGGAGAACGGCCTGGCAGCTCTGGGGGGAGGCGGGAGGTGGGGGGTGGGGGGGATGTGCCCTCTGAAGCCCATCTTCAGGCTCCTCCTTGCTCCTGCAGGTGGAAGTGAACCCCTCCCTGGACATGGCCGAGTCGGACTTCATGAACAACGTGATACGCTGCCGCTGCAGATACAGCGGGAACAAAGTGTACATGTACGGCTGCCATGCAGGTACACGCTGAACCGCCCACACACACACACACACACACACACACATCCCATGCGGCGTTTCACATGCCACTGACACTGACATTCATTCATAAAAATACAATCAGCTGTGCTTAGGCATCATTGTAAAGTGAAGTTTGAAACTGAAACGCTTTCATGTGATTGGTGCTTCAACCCCAGGTGATGCGTACAGTGCAGAGATCGAGGACCTGTTTGAGCACCAGCAGCAGATCTCCAACAACCTAATCTAAGCTGATAGAGCGGCGGTGCCGAGGCCAGGAGGGGACGGGGGACAGGGTTGGGGGGGTTGGGGTTCACATGATGCAGGTCCCAGGACATCCAGAAATGAGGCGGCAGACAGCGTCACCTGTCCAGCTCGGGGGCATGACTCCGCCGTTTCCACACCCTTGGAGTCCTGTCTCGTGAGTCAGGGCACCTTTATAGGTGGGACACATCTACCAGATGGGAGGGCGGGGAGGTGTCACCATGGCAACTAGTTTCTTCATTCATACAATGGAATTTTTAGCTTTAAGGTCCAACACGTAGACCAAAGCAGGTGAGAGGCATATTGGGACTATGGGATTAAGGCAGTATGTATTTCTGTCATAAGCAGTCTTAGGTAGACCTGTCATTGGTATCTGTAATGGTATCTGCTGGGGTCTTTAAGGCTGTGACACAGAGGGATGGATGCTATTGGGGACCATTTATGGCCAAACACACTTATTAGGTGGCATTTTTCAATGAACAGCTCAGTGTCTCCATGACTACAGGCTGGGCCAAACCATATTGCCTATCCGGATATTGGTGCTGTGTTGCCAAGGTGCTTGTCTAACATTATATGTGTGCCGTCGTGCACTTTTCCATGATCAGGGCCTTAACCTAACCATGTCTTCAGGTTACTGTCGTAGGAGTTTAGATTATGCTCATTAAAGTTGCACTTTATCTGTTGATATTCATGATTCTTGAGGATTTTGTAAGAGTTGTGCCCCCGGAGACAATAACAATGACATCTCAACATTAACAGAGATTCCTTGTGATCATATTACTTATAATGTAGTTATCACACGTTATCACACGTACTGACTAGAGGGATTTATCTTGTTCTGGTAATATAGTACTGCTTCTGTGCAAAAAAAAAATCAGTCGACTGACACGGTGTACTGTCTGCTGTTGATTTATTTATGTTTCTGTTTAATCTCTAGTTAGTGCACTCATCCAAGATCATGGGTGGGTGGACTTCTGCTGTGTGTCTAATGAAACTATGAAAAACTATTAAAAGATATAAAATCTACACTTTAAAATTTACACAATCTACAATTCAGACCATGATATCACATTAAGCTCATCTGAAATGTCATAAAGGCCCTGGGTGTGTAGCAGATGTAGAACAAGTTTGCTGAGTCTGTCTCAAGTGGCCGTATGTTAAGCTAAAATCACAGCCCGCTCCCGCACTGTTCATTTCCTCTTGTTTATTTGATGTCTTCGTGTTATAAATGCTCCGTGTGTTTTTCATTTGGAAGCTTGAACAAAGGACGTCCCTCACAGTGCTGTCTTGCACCATCCCGCAGCTGTGGAGACTCTGCACGGAATAGGCGGCATTCCCTCTAGTACATAATGTAATGAATTGGTTTGGCAGAGCAGTCGGGGCTGAGATTGCGTATCTCGCGATGGAGTCGGGTCCACGAAGGCCAAAAAGCACCAGACTGACAGAGTGGTGTACTTATACACAGACACAGACAGAATGACAGACACAGACAGACAAGCGTCCAAGTTTACAGCAGTTTGTTCATAGTATGTTCGTAGCCGCAGGGCTGGCCATGGTGAGTGTGTGCACGTCTCGCTTGTGAACCCTTCATCGTGTACTGCAGATGTTGTCAGGTCTGATTAGCATTTTCTTCAGCAGCTACTTGAGCAAGTCCAACCATCGATGTCCTTCAGGGGGCATTTGCCTCAGCTCGGAGACCAGCCGGACTGGAGCAGCCATTTTTGGTTGGGTTTGTGTCAGGCGTGCTCGTGTGAGGCTTGCCGTTTGTGAGCTGCTGTTGCCCGTGGCTCTCATCTCCTCGTGTCTGCTCACTAGTCCTTGGGGGAATCCAGTCCCACCAGCAGCAGGACCCAAAAGAGGGGAAATAGTCTCAGGTGTCTCTGGGTACCGGCAGTGTCTCAGTGCGAGTCGGACTGCAGCCCGTCTTCAGGCTGACGGAGTCTCCCAGTTCTGCTCAGCTGCAGTGCTGGTGTGTGAAAGTCGTCTCTCTACTGTGAAGCCATAAAGCTCAGCATAGCCAGGGCCCGCTGTAGCTTCCATCCCGATTTCTTAAGCGGAAACGACAGCTTTGCATTTCAGTGGTTAGTAAAGTACCCAAAGTGCCCAAATTGTCCCACATAACCTGCCCGGCATTGAATTTAAGGGCTTCATTTAATCTTCAGCCCAAAATGGCTCATTCAGATTAGTATAAGCTTACTGACGGCAATCACTTCCTGTTTATTTTGTGTTGAATTGTCATGCTTGTAACTAGCAGAACGTCTCAATGTCAAATATAATTAATTTGTATACGGTTAATGTACTGGTGAAATATTGCATATGTTTGTTTTAAGGAAACTATATCTACTGATGCCATTTTAAACACCTTGATGTTTTATGTGATTTTGACAGAAGAATCTAAATAAACATCTGAGTGAGTGGAAATGCCTTGTTGCGCTCTCTTGCTCTCCTTTGTGTTCTTGTGTGAGCATTGTGGTGAGACGGGGACAGCACTGTGGGCAGCCGTACCGCGACACGTGTTGACGTTGATCTGAATTAGCATCACCGCAGCACATATGGGGCACATGACACAGCTCTTCCTTGTTGCTTTCCCGGAATGGACTGTTTTGGAAAGATCACAAAAGGCACTTGAATTCTAAAAGGAGCTTCACCGTACAAACATGTGCCCCCTATATGTGTCTCGGGTCAAAGTGAGGCCTTAGATGACCGCCGAAAGTCTGTGGTGTTGCCTCGCCACCCCCACCCCACAAAGGAATGTAGTTTATTAAAAAATGCACCCTTAGTGCGGCTGCTGATGTGCTCGCTGAACAAATACAGAGAAATGCTTCCCGGGTCTGTAAACACTCCCCACAGCTCATGTAGGCAGCCATGCTGCTCATCAGTGAACAAATAATGCCTGTGACTTCCCAAAGTCACCTACTCTTTACGAGAGTGATCCTCCCCCCACCTGTGGGTTCAACTCTGTGGGATTGACAGGCCCGATTTCACCTGCACCCAGTCACGTTTTCACCCTGGCTTGATCATGCAGGAGGTGGGATGTTTGTGGGTTGTTTGAGCGTAAAAAAATGTTCAAGGACCACTGGCTCATTATGCACATCAAAATTATAAGACAAGATTTGTTTTATTTGCATGAGTACATTTACATTTTATTTATTTATATTATATTTAGCAGATGGTTTTGTCCAAAGAGAAAGCAGGGGGCCAGACAGTCCCTGGAGAAACTGAGTGTTAAGGGTACGGAAGCGTATTACTGCCACGACATAATAAAAAATATATAGTCACTATCACGTTATAATGTGAAAATCTTACATTATAACATGAAAACATCACGTTACAATGAGGAATCGTATCACGTGATAACGTGAAAATATTACGTTATATCGAGAAAACCTATCCCGCAGGATTTTTTTTTATTATGTCGTGGCAGTAATACGCTTCCGTATAATGGCTTTGCTCAAAAGCCTAACACTGAAAACACTCACCTGAACCTGGGATTTGAACCAATGAGAGAAAAGCTTGGGCTCAAAGTGCAGAGTTGACCATCAATCACGTTGCCTTGAACAGTGTTTTGGGTTAAGGGCCTTGCTGAGTCACACAAAAGTCTACCCTGCATTTCAGTTTACCCATACAATCTCTATGCTAATGTAGAACTCTCACGTTAACTGTCTTGCTAAGCTTAAAAGTAATAAATATATTTATTCAGTTTACCAGCTATGCAACCAACATGCTTAATATGAAACATTCTAAAACTGCTCTCTTTGCTGTATACGCTATAATTTACAATGCACAAATCCAGTGTTCTTCAGATTTCATTGGCAGAACTGGCACTAATTTAAACCTGGTTAATATACCGCGAGAAAAAAATGTCACCTAACTGGATTTTATATTGTTACGTCGCCACCTCGTGGCCATACATAAGTGCTGCTGTTACCCAAAAAGTTGTTTTCCGGGTAAACAAATCTGTTAAAAATAATTTTAAAGGTAGCTAACCATTTAGCGTTTTAAAAATGTACCGTAATGTAACATCATTTAAAACGATTTTTTAAAGGCTGGATGTTGCAAACATAAATTCTGGTGTAACAGAAGAAAATAATTAGTAAGCAGTAGCTCTCTATTTTGGCCACAAGGTGGCAACATGTTAAGACATAGTTTTCATAGTTAAGTAATTTATTTTCCAATCTAATCTAATTAGAACTGCTTAATCACACGTATAATTTCAACCTAATTATACGTGTGATTAAGCAGTTGGTTTTTATATAACACACCGAAATAGATAGGCGACAAATACACAAAATTGGTGAAAAAAGGTTAATATAGGTTTATGTTAACACGTCGCCACATGGTGGCCAAAATGTTATCGGAAAGTATTGTGTATAATCCTTCTGTTGTAGCTGGTTATATTGGCGAGATTCTCCGCAATTGTATGGGATTCTGAAAAAACGAGATAAAGTTGTAATCATAAAGGAAATATCACAAGTTTAGACTATAAACATAGAACAATGTACCGAGCATTTTGGCAGTTAAGGACGGTGAGTTATTGAGCTAACAGCTAGTCTGTAGTTACTTGTGAGCCCTGCTAACGACCAGCTGCATATGCGGTGTCGATGAGTACCAGACTGTCAGAGAGAAACAGCCTTTAGATCTTACTAATGGCAATAACCTTTGTAACCACAATGGCTCACTTAAAGCGCTTATGTTTATAGTTATTTCACGTAAAGCAAATGGACAACTGGAAACCAGAACAGAGGCTTTATGCTTGATGTTTTTACAGTTACTAGGCTGTTTGGCTGCTTCGTGAGGTGAGTACTTTTATGTTGGGCAAGTGTCATATGATTAAATGTTTATTAACTTAAGCTCCAGTAAAGTAACTGGCCTGTGTCAAAGACCAGATTCACTTTATTCATTCCCAGTTAGTCAGGTTCACTGCTCCCAGCCTTGTTACTGTCACTTTCACGTTGACTTCACTGGCAGTGTCCTGCAGTGTCAGTCTTTCTACCTCCTTTTCGCAAGACGTAATAGACAAGAAATTG